CCATTCCTAGCTTTTGATCCTCAACATTTCAGGCTCGGTTACCATGTTCACATATTCCCATTTAAATCAGGTTGGTTATGAAAAGGGCTTGGCCTTCCCAGCTAAATGGAAATATTTGATTCTGAGTTTCCTTTGTGGCAGGTGACCAAAATCTGTTTGGGGGAAAAAGGCCTGGGGCAGGTTGCAAATTATTCAGCAAAACTTCCGGCTGGCTGCCAGACAAGAGTTTGAAACCTCAAACCGACTACGCCAAGTTATGCCACCTTCCAAAGCAAAAAAAAAAAAAACCCTAAAAGAAAACAGAACAACATGCGCTCACGTGCTATCAAAAAGATAATAATTGCATAACAATGTTTTGGTGTCGTACCACAACTTAACAACAAACAGTTGTGAAACTAAGGAGACAATAGAATTGGGAAAGGAGAGAACGACCTCTGAAATAGCCAAATTAAATCAAGATCAAGATTGGGATGGAGTGAATTGGCTTGAAGGGAAGACTCTCTCTCACTCCCCCCCCACCCTCCTTTCCCTGCCTCCCAAATTTCAATTTTTAAAAAAGAACTTTCTGCTGAAATTCCACCGGGTTGAACCTCAAGGGGCCTGCATTATTAATCCTCCAAAATTAAAAAAAAAAAAAAATCCAATTCTTCCAAGGAAAGCTGCAACCAAGGGCAAACACTGTAATAAAAACATCGTGCGGGTTTGCCAGATTGCAAGATGTCCCTTTTTAAAATAATAATAATAATAAAAAAAACAGCGGTTGACTAACTTTTAACAATTCGGGATGCCTGGCTTAAAAGTTGCACCAACTGGCAAATTACGGGCAGGTTTCCTAACCTTGGCAACTCAAGAGGCGTGTGGACTACAACTCCCAGAATAAAAATAACACAATAAAATAGCACCCGTTCCAATATTTAGAATAGAATATTTTGCTGGCTGGATACTAAGGTGAAATTCCCCTTAAGTCAGACAGAGTAGAGTAGAGTAGAGTAGAGTAGAGTAGAGTAGAGTAGAGTAGAATAGAATAGAATAGAATAGAATAGAATAGAATAGAAGAGTTGGAAGGGACCTTGGAGGTCTTCTAGTCCACCCCCCTGCTTAGGCAGGAAACCCTGCACCACTTCAGTCAAATGGTTATCCAACCTCTTAAAAACTTCCGGTGTTTTTAATCCCCAGGGGGATTCTGGGAGTTGTAGTTCACACGCCTTCGAGTTTGCCAAGGTTCGGAAACCTGGCATTACCCAATGCAATTTAGGCCAAAACAATGCATTTTCCCCGCTTTACTTTTCAAGCTGTTTAATGACACCGATATTATTTGTGATTTTCTAGACCTGTTTATTGCAACAACAAACAAACAAACAAAAAAATCCATCCATTGCATTTACCCCCTTCGGTCCCCCCAAAATGCAGGCCCCAGAAGATAACCTAGGAAAGTCCACACAGCCTCTTTAAACTAGGATTTTGCCCACCCCAAACCAGAATGCGGTCCACACGGGGTTTGCCAATGTGGATTTGCAGGATATTTTCTCGGCCTATCCTCTTGCAACAAACTTCACATTTTAATCCACGTTTCGGTTCTAAAAGGAGAACATCGAGAACCTGACCGGCCACATTCCACCTGCCCTGGTGCTGCAGGACTCCAACCCCCATCATTCCCTGCCATCCAATGTCCTCAAGTTTCCCTACCCTCAGTTCTTTCGGCCCAAGGATCAAATCCACCCTTCATTTCCCCACTTGCAAAACAGGGAACAGAACAGGGACTCCTACAGAGAGGCGACTCTCCCCACAACATTGCACTGGTTTGGCTCTCAGCGAATGGGACTGCAGGCAATCATGGCTTGTTTAGCTGTCTTTGTAAACCATGGTTTAGCATGCAGCGGGGATTAACTTAATTCAGAGTTTCTTGTGGTTCCTAACCTACTAAAATGTTTTGTTTTTTTTTCTTTGCTGTGTGCTATGAAGAGGGCAGTTTTTCCATCTGTAGGAAACGTGTCTTAGAGGAGGGTCCCACTGGCTGGGAATGATGGAAATTGTAGTAAACAAGAGGCTCAAGAAGCAAAAAAGACAGGCTTGTAAGTTTAGTAACTCAAAAGGAAAAACCACTTGTGTCAATCCCACCCATCCTATAAAAATACATAAGAAATTAGAAATATTAGGAAATCAAATGCAAGCTTTAAAACAGAAGTCGGGTTCAGTCAGCAAGGAAAACCATGGTTTATTCTGAACACGGCTTGTTGGGAGAAGCAGAACTGGCTAGATTTAAACCTACCCACCCCACACACAAGGTTGCTGAATAAGCCACAATCAGAGGGGCCCACCCATCACACAGCTCATTTTCAACCATCATTTGACCAAGAAGCCGAGACGCCTTCACCCAGCTTTCAATCATGGTTTGCTGAATAAACCATAATGAGCAGGCTCCCAAATGAGCAAGAAGTATCCCATTTCAGATACAGAATGTAAATGTAAAGTTTGTTAACTTTACATTATGAAAACAAAAAGTACTCCCCGGCCTACCTTACAGGGTTATTGTACTGGACACAGCAAGCTGCTATAAACCAGCTGGTCGCGGCAGGATAAATATGGGTGAGGCTGTTTTAAACTGCCGGCTTGCTACTTCCTATCTTAGTCACCGATGCAGCTCTGGAAAAGCTAATTATTAGCAATCCTATCTTAAAGGGGTACCAGCTCTATATTAAATATTCTAACCATTAGGCTTTTCAAGATTAAAAAAAAAATGGTTTTAATAGCTTCTGAAAAGGCAGCAGATCAGAGAAATTTCTAAATTTTAGGGGAGGAAAATATTCCTTTTTTTTTTTCCTTTTATTCGCAGGGGCTGCTAAACCTAAAGTCCAGAAATCCCCCCCCCTCTCCAAAATAGGGTCCCGAACACACAGATTAAGAAGAGTGATGCAAGCAAAAAAGCAAGGTTACGCAAACATGGAACAACTCCATTACTCGTCTCACCCAGGAACTCATTCAGAGGCACAACAGGCAGGTTTTAACCTCCCTCCTTCCCTAAATAATGCAAATGAGCTTTTTTCTTTTTTCTTTTTGCTCAATGGAATATCAAGACTTTTGGCTGCTTTTAAAAACCTCAGCATGGCCCTAAAAATGCTGATTTAGCTCTTTATCCTCCTCCCCACTCTTTAAAAAAAGCTTCCAAGCCCCCCCAGTGCAGATATTATTATTATTATTATTATTATTATTATTATTATTATTATTATTAATATTATTATTATTATTATTATTATTATTATTATTATTATTATTATTATTATTATTATGGCAGAACTTTTTCAAACAAACTAATCTCCAAGGGTAGATTCGCACAACCCACACAAACCCCCAAGTCCAGAGAGCAACGATGGGGCCAAACTTGGTTTACCAAGTTTGTTTCTCCTCCGGCTTGCATTGTGTGTGTGTGTGTGTGTGTGTGTGTGTATGTATCTCAACACAACATTTGTTAATGGGTTTTAATTCGGGCCAAAGTATATAATTCTTTTAATTAATTTTAAATTTTGTATCGTTATGTATTTTAGTTTTGCCTGTGCACCGCCCTGAGTCCACTAGGAGAAGGGTGGTATATAAATTGAATAAATAATAATAATAATAATAACCGATGAAAGGTGGTGAAAACCCAGAAAGATGCACGATTCAAAAGCTGGAGGGGGGGGGGGAAGAATGGACTGCCCTCAGTCTGAAAAGGGTATAAGGGTCTTCCTGCTTAAACAAGGGGACAGACTAGATGTCCTCCAAGGTCCCCCTTCCATCTCTTTCTTTTCTGATGGGTTTGATTGAACAAGCTCGCCTCCAGAAAGTTGTGAATGCTCCATCCCTGGAGGCTTTTCAAAAAGAGCCTGGATAGAAATGGCACAGGGTTCTCCTTGCTTGAGCAAGTGGGGGGTCAGGCTGGATGACCTCCCAAGGTCCCTTCCACCTCTTTCTTTTCTGATGGGTTTGATTGAACAGCTCTCGCCTCCAGAAAGTTGTGGGTGTGCTCCATCCCACCGGAGGCTTTTATAAGAGCCCGGATAGCTCTTTTGAGATGTTAAGATTTTTAATTGTCTTATGGGTTTTAGTTGGGATTTAGTTTTCAATTTTGGGCCAAAGTTGTGTCATACTTTTAACCAATTTTCAATTTTGTATTGGGATTTTTCTTTTTATTATTTTGGCTGCGCACCGCCCTGAGTCTGAAAGGAGAAGGGCGGTATACAAAATTTAATAAAATAAATAAATAAATAATAATAATAGAAATGGCACAGGGCCTAATTTAATTGATCTGTTTGAAATTATGGGCCAAATTCCATTTAATCAGTTTGAAATCATTATTTAACTTTTGTGTACCAATGTTTTTATTTCGGCTGTTCGCCGCCCTGAGTCCGAAAGGAGAAGGGCGGTATACAAAATTTAATAAAAGTAAATAAATAAATAAATAAATAATAATAATAATAGAAATGGCACAGGGCCTAATTTAATTGATAGGTTTGAAATTATGGGCCAAATTCTATTTAATCAGTTTGAAATCATTATTTTAACTTTTGTGTACCAATGTTTTTATTTCGGCTGTTCGCACCGCCCTGAGTCCGAAAGGAGAAGGGCGGTATACAAAATGTAATAAAATAAATAAATAATGCTTGAGTTTGGGGGTCAGCCTGGATGACCTCCCAAGGTCCCTTCCACCTCTTTCTTTTCTGATGGAGAAAAGCCCCCTTTCCCCACAGGCCTACCTTGCAGGGCTGGCAAAATAGCCTCCCTCCCCACCTACCCAAAAAAATCGGCAGGCACGAGCGTTTGCGCTCCCCAGGCAAAAGCCCCCAGCAGAAGCAAGCGCGCAAAAGTTAGTCGCGATCCAAAGCCGGGCCAAGAGATCCAGCGGTGGGGAGGGAAAGAAGAGAGATCGCTCATTGGGAATCAATCCCCCTCCCCACTCCTCCTCTTCCTCCTCCAGTTCGGGAGCGCCCCTTCCCCAATTGCACCTCCAGCCCCCACCCACTCACTTGATCCGGATCAGAGCTTGCAAAACGCGCACCTTCGCCGGGCTGCAACGCCGACCACCAACATCCCCCCTCTCCTTCTCTCCTGGCCAAGATCTGCCACTGGAGCCTCGGTTTTGCAAGACGAGCCTCCCGACCCGCAACTCTTTCCTTTCAACTCGCGTTGGGGTTGACCCGGGTCGTGAGAACGCGGCGGCAAAGCAGCAGAACCCGACCCCCGCGCTTCGCCCGCAGGCCGGAGTCCGCCGCGGGGGCGCCGAGCGCTCTAATAGCAAGCGCGTCGCCCCATCACATGAGCCGCCGAACCCGCCCAAGCTCCGGCTCCGCTCCTCCTTCTTAAGGGCGACCGGCCGAATAGCTCTTCTGCCATCAAGAAGGAAGAGATGGAAGGGGGGACCTTGGGAGGTCATCCAATCCAACCCCCCCTTTGCTTAAGCAGGAGTCTCTGTGCCATTTCTATCCAGGGTCTCCAGTGGTGGAACACACCCACAACTTCTGGAGGCGAGCTTGTTCAATCAAACCATCAGAAAATAAAGATGGAAGGGACCTTGGGAGGTCATCCAGTCCGACCCCCCCCTTTGCTCAAACAGTGCCATTCTATCCAGGCTCTTTTTGAAAGCCTCCAGCAGGATGGAGCACACCCACAACTTTCTGGAGGTGAGCTTGTTCCATCAAACCATCAGAAAAGAAAGAGGTGGAAGGGATCTGGGAGGTCATCCAGTCCAACCCCCCCTTTTGCTCAAACAGTGCCATATCTGTCCTGGCTCTTCTTATAAAAGCCTCCAGCAGGATGGAGCACACCCAAAACTTTCTGGAGGCGAGCTGTTCCATCAAACCCATCAGAAAAGAAAGAGGGAAGGGATCTTGGGAGGTCATCCAGTCCAACCCCCCCTTTGCTAAACAGTGCCATATCTGTCCTGGCTCTTCTTATAAAAGCCCTCCAGCAGGATGGAGCACACCCAAACTTCTGGAGGTGAGCTTGTTCCATCAAACCCATCAGAAAATAAGAGATGGAAGGGACCTTGAGAGGTCATCCAGCCTGACCCCCCACTTGCTAAGCAAGGAGAACCCTGTGCCGTTTCTATCCAGGCTCTTCTTAAAGGGATGGAGCACGCCCACAACTTCTGGAGGCGAGCTTGTTCAATCAAACCATCAGAAAATAAGAGATGGAAGGGACCTTGGGAGGTCATCCAGTCCAACCCCCCCTTGCTTAAGCAGACCTGGCCTATACCCTTTCAGACAAGGCTGTCCAGGCTCTTCTTAAAAGCCTCCGGTGGATGGAGCACTTGCAACTTCTGGAGGCGAGCTGTTCAATCAAACCATCGAGAAAAGAAAGAGATGGAAGGGACTTTGGGAGGTCATCCAGTCCAACCCCCCTTTTACTCAAACAGTGCCATTTCTGTCCAGGCTCTTCTTATAAAAGCCTCCAGCGGGATGGAGCACACCCACAACTTTCTGGAGGCGAGCTGTTCAATCAAACCCATCGGAAAAGAAAGAGATGGAAGGGACCTTGGGAGGTCATCCAGTCCAACCCCCCCTTTTTTTACTCAAACAGTGCCATTTCTGTCCAGGCTCTTCTTATAAAAGCCTCCGGTGGGATGGAGCACACCCACAACTTTCTGGAGGCGAGAGCTGTTCCATCAAACCCATCAGAAAAGAAAGAGGTGGAAGGGATCTCGAGAGGTCATCCAGTCCAACCCCCCCTTGCTTAAGCAGGAGACTCTGTACCATTTCTATCCAGGCTCTTCTTATAAGGGATGGAGCACCCCACAACTTCTGGAGGCGAGAGCTGTTCAATCCAACCATCAGAAAAGAAGAGATGGAAGAGACCTTGGGAGGTCATCCAGTCCAACCCCCCTTGCTCAAGCAGACCTGGATACCCTTTCAGACAAGTTTCTGTCCAGGCTCTTCTTGAAAGCCTCCGGTGGTGGAGCACTTGCAACTTCTGGAGGCGAGCTTGTTCAATCAAACCATCAGAAAATAAGAGACGGAAGGGACCTTGGGAGGTCATCCAGTCCAACCCCCCCCTTTTACTCAAAACAGTGCCATTTCTGTCCAGGCTCTTCTTATAGCCTCCAGCGGGATGGAGTACACCCACAACTTTCTGGAGGCCAGCTTGTTCAATCAACCCATTAGAAAAGAAAGAGGTGGAAGGGATCTTGGGAGGTCATCCAGTCCGACCCCCCCTTTTACTCAAACAGTGCCATATCTGTCCAGGCTCTTTTTGAAAGCCTCAGCGGGATGGAGCACACCAAAACTTCTGGAGGTGAGCTTGTCAATCAAACCCATCGGAAATAAGAGATGGAAGGGACCTTGGGAGGTCATCCAGTCCAACCCCCCTTTTACTCAAACAGTGCCATATCTATCCAGGCTCTTCTTATAGAAAGCCTCCGGCGGGATGGAGCACACCCACAACTTTCTGGAGGCGAGAGCTGTTCCATCAAACCCATCAGAAAAGAAAGAGATGGAAGGGAGCTTGGGAGGTCATCCAGTCCGACCCCCACTTGCTCAAGCAAAACTGTGCCATTTCTGTCCAGGCTCTTTTTAAAAGCCTCCAGTGATGGAGCACCCACAACTTTCTGGAGGAGAGCTGTTCAATCAAACCCATCAGAAAATAAGAGATGGAAGGGACCTTCGAGGTCATCCAGTCTAACCGCTGCTTTAGCAAGGAGACCCTGTGCCATTTCTATCCAGGCTCTTTTTGAAAAGCCTCCAGTGATGGAGCACACCACAACTTTCTGGAGCGAGCTTGTTCAATCAAACCATCAAAAAAGAAAGAGATGGAAGGGGACTTTGGAGGACATCTAGTCTGACCCCTTGCTGAAGCAGGAAGACCTTATACCCTTTTCAGGCTGAGGGCAGTCCATTCTTTCCCCCTCCAGCTTTGAATCGGGCATTTTTCTTTCTTTCTCTTCTTATAAAAGCCTCCAGCAATGGAGCCACCCACAAATTCTGGAGGCGAGCTTGTTCAATCAAACCATCAGAAAAGAAGAGATGGAAGGGACCTTCGAGGTCATCCAGTCCAACCCCTTGCTTAAGCAGACCTGGCCTATAACCTTTCAGACAAGTGGCTGTCCAGGCTCTTCTTGAAAGCCTCCGGTGGTGGAGCACTTGCAACTTCTGGCAGACGAGCTGTTCAATCAAACCATCAGAATAGAAGAGATGGACGGGACCTTGGAGGTCATCCAATCGAACCCCTTGCACAAGCAGGAGACCCTATCTATACCCTTTCACACAAGTGGCTATCCAGGCTCTTCTTAGAAAAGCCTCCAGTGTGATGGGAGCCCTTGCAACTTCTGGCAGACGAGCTGTTCCATCAAACCATCGGAAAATAGAGCTGGAGGGGACCTCGGAGGTCATCCAGTCCAACCCCGCTGCTCAAGCGGGAGAGCTTGTACCATTTTTATCCAGGCTCTTCTTAAAAGCCTCCAGAGCACCCACAATTTCTAGAGGCAAGCTGTTTTGTCCTCACTGTTAGGAAATTCCTCCTTAATTCCAGGTTGCTTCTCTCCCTGGTTAGTTTCCACCCTTTTTGCTTCTTGTCTTACCTTCTGGCGGTTTGGAAAAATAGCTTTGACTCCTCCTTCTTTCTGACAACCCCTCAAATATCAGAACCCGGCTATCGTGTCACCCCCTAATCCTTCTGTTCGTTAAAATAGACACACCCAATTCCTTTGAAATACTAGAAAATATTGTAGATTTTGCTCCCCAAGCTTGTTTCGATGTAGTTTCTGAACGTTTTGTTACCAAACTAGGTAACGTCATCAGTAGGACTGTCTGGTCTTATTCTCCTTAGCTTATAAACGTCTTGGGTGCCAATGCTGTCAATTGGTCAGTTGGTTGGTTGTACATTGGCAGCTCTATTTAAATTACACCCAATTCCTGCCAACTGTTCTTCATAGGTTTTAGCATATATGTGTTCTGCCCCGGCCAAGGACCCCAAAGAAAGCAGCACACACGAAGTCTGTACAAACCTTAGTTTACTAAATTAAATCAGTCTTTTTCAAACAAAGGCTGTTAATTAGCTTTCTTAACAGCCTACAAGGATCCAAAGAATAAAATAATCGTAATCTTACTAGGGTTGGCAGAAAGCCCAGAAGCAATTTGCAGGAAACTGATAAACAGAACTAAGATCAAGATGCGAAAAAATATGAACGAAGTTGTTCCCTGCAAATTGCTTTAGTCGGCGTTCTTCCTTAAATAGGCTAAGGGAATGCCAATTAGCCCCAAGCCTTACTCTTGAGGAGACCTCTTCCTGAGGAGCCACTCCTGCTTTTTGGCAGCTCTGCGCGCCCGTGCATCGATAAGAGGCTCCTCCTCTTCGTCCTCTTCACCCATGGAACCTTCTAGAGGTTCTGAAGGCCCTGGCTGAATCCCCGTCTCTGGCACCACATCTTCTCCAGCCTCCTCACTGTCCGACTCGAGCGCCAGCTGCACAGGCTGCTGGCGCAGCACCACACCAGCCTCCTCGCTGTCGGAATCAGCTACCAGTTGCACAGGCCGCTGACGAGCCACAACACTATGTCAACGGACTGCCGGTGAGATCGGGACGGTGTGAGGAGGGCGGGCGGGCCCCGTTTACTCAGGGACGCAGGTATGCCTCGACTTACAACAGTCCGTTTAGTGACCGTTCAAAGTTATAGCGGCATTGAAAAAAAGGGATGACTGTTTTTCACCCTTTTACGACCATAATTCGGACCTTGGCCAATGATTCGTATTTACCACGACCCCGGATCGTGTGATTCCCTTTTGTGACCTTCTGATGAGCAAAGTCAGTTGGGGGGACGGGGACGGGGACGGGGGACCAGGTTCACTTAACACCCGTGTTAACTAATATAACCGCTGTGGTGTTTCACTTAACAACCGTGGCAAGGAAGGTCGTAAAACGGGGCAAAAATTCACTTAGCAAAACTTTCGCTTAGCAGGAGGTCTTCTAGTCCAACCCCCTGCTTAGGCAGGGAAGTAAGAGATATATTATGCCCATTTTATGGATGGGGCGTTAACAGAGTGAGGCTGTCTTCTCACTGTAGCTGTGTGCACCACCGATTAGCTAATGTTTTCCCCGCGCCAGAGATCGTCTCTTGCCTTCCCTTCGGCACAAATGGGTTTGTTCTTCCTTATCTCCCAGCAGCTGTGTGTTCAGGACTGTTGTGTTGTGTACCACTCAAGCTTGTTGTTTTCTTGCGTGGCCAGACCCCAAGCGCGCTAACAAAAAGCTCTTTTGTGACGGACGCCACCGACAGCTGCCAATCCGGTTCCAAGGAAAACAAGAGTTTTGCCTGACCTTCTTCGTCATTTTTTTTTTTTTTTTGAAAACAGACTTCACATTTTCGCCACTGTTGCACAAGCTAGAAGCGTGTGTGTGTGTGTGTGTTTGTGTGTCAAAACTACGCAACCGCCCACGCAACACCGCACCGGCTTTTCATACACTGGAGACACAACAGCTGGCCTGCTTTAAGTTTAAAGTGAAACACAACTCACACTTCCGGCTTAGTTGGAACGGAAACGATCCCCCGTAATTGCAAGGACGCCCCAAAAGAGCCTCCTTGGCTGCAGGCAGTCTATCGCAAAAGCCCAACCCCAGGAGCAAAAGCCAGCGAATGCAACAGAACAAACGATTTATTACAATTTTCTTTTTACAAAAATTTCTTTTAAAAAATTATTATTTCAGGCGTATAAATACCGAACATCGATCCTTTTGGACAAAACAGGAAGATTTCAGTTTAAAAACATCAGTAGTATTGAAAATGGCAAGTGGAAAACATCGGTTTAAATCGAGGTTTTTTTTTTTTTTTTCAAACACTGCCACTTTAAGGGGTGTGGACCTCAACTCCCAGAATTCCCCAGGCTGGCTTGGGAATTCTGGGAGTTGAAGTCCACAAACCCCTTAAAGTAGCCAAGCTTGAAAACACTTTAGCAGGAAATAGGTCTTTAAGGCACTTTCTTATTATTGCAATAATTCCGTCAAACATCGATCATCTCTAGTTTAAATTCAGAAGAAACAAACATGATTTGTCCCATTTTTTTTTTTTTTTTAATGCTAGCATAGACTTCTGTAATTGGCTGCCCTCCTGGGTTTAAAAGAATTACAGTCCCTATCACCCCCACCCGGCCATCTTTTGCTGTTTTTCATTTATTTATTTATTTTTTGCAAAACATTCTATCCTGAAAATTCTAAAAATTAGGAAAGGGCACCACCTGGTGGTAAAATTACATTTCTCTATTTTAGTCCGTTTTAGCAACTGTTTTGACCCCAAATCAAAACCAGATTGCAAGATCTAGATCTCCGATCTAGAGCAGGATTATGCCGATTTGAATCGGAGGGGCGCCACAGCAAAGTTAGCAAAACTTTGCTTGCTTAAGAGGTGCAATTTTTTTTTGAACCTCTAAGCCCAAATCTCCACAGGCCAAAAACAACCTGCCTTTTTTCCATACCCAAAAGGAGCAAAAAAAATCTCAGAACCTATATTGGTCCACACCGGAACATCAATATACCTATTTAATTTTATCCCAAAACTGAATTTCTGGAAGTAGAAAGTCTTGCAGACTGTATGTATTTTGAACTCTGCGAGGTAGTTTGTTTTAAATAACTCCCGAAGGGGGGAAACTGAGGCACACAGCACTAAGTTGTTCCTTGATCCGGAAGGTAGCAAAGAACTGAAAAAAAAATATTTCCTACCTCTCCCACTTTTCCACTTGGAAGCTTCCAGAGGTTCTTTAAAATAATTCCCGAAGGGGGAAACTGAGGCACACAGCAAACTTTTGTCCCTTGACCGGGAAGGTAGCAAAGAACTGAAAAAAAATATCTCCTACCTCTCCCAATTTCCCCACTTGAAAAGTTCCAGAATCCAATCTTAGCCGGTGGAACTCAGCGCCACAAGGTGTGGTAATGAATGCCCTCTCTGATGGCTCAATTAACAAGAATTTGATAAATTAATAAAGGGAGGAGGAAGCGCACTGCACGTTGTTTCAATGAAGCACGGCTACTGACAAACAGTAAGCCACTTCCTGGGTGGAGAAAACCTGGCTGGCTGTTATTAAGACAATTTAATGAGGAGAAAAACAGCCTAGCCTGCGGTGATCCATTAAATATATTTTTTTTAAATGGCGGGATTTCCCCCCCTCAATTCACCCCCCCCCCGACAATTTTCACACCACACATTGAAGGATTTCTGCTGAGAAACGCCAGGTTGGGGGCAGAGGGTGTGTGAGCGACCCACAGCTTGAGAAACATCACCCCATTAAAGATTCATAGTCGATGTACCAAGAAACCTGGCCATTCTGGGGCTTCACGCCCGATATCGGCCATTTCTGGGGCTCGTTCCCTGCTCGACTAACAATAGAGACAGTCTCGTGTTTGCTTTTCCCCATCACTAAGACGGACACCTGTCTGGCTTTGTTGATAAGCGGCAGAGTGACCGTCATACGCTGGTGAGGTTTCGTAGGGCTCTCGGCGAAGATGACGTCCTTATCCCCCTCTAGGCCGGCCGAGGATGGGAAGAGAGAGGCGGTATGTCCGTCGGTGCCCATTCCCAGGATAACCAGGTCGAAGCTGGAGTTGGCCACCAAGGCCCCGATCTCGTTGGCGTACAACTCCGGCCCTCGGTCCTCTTCCACGCAAAGTCGACGGTTGAGATGTACCGGCATCGGATGGATGTTGAAATAAGGAATCCGGATATGTTGGAGTAAATGCTGGTGCAAGTGGCCGAAATTTGATTCCGGATCGGCGAGCGGGACGCAGCGCTCGTCTACCATCCATAAGTGAGTCTGCTTCCACGGGAAGCCGTAACAATGCCTGCTGAGTTGCCTGAACAAGACCAAGGGGCTCGAGCCGCCGGAAAGCGCCAAGTGGAATTCTCCGCGCCTCCGGATGGCGTCGAGCGCCGCGGTTTCTATGTCGGATGCCAGACGGCCAATGAGGTCGTCTGCCCAGGCAGTAACCAACCGGCTCTCTCGAAAGGTGGAAAGCAGGGTCTGGAATCTGTCGGCGGTGTGTTTATCCTCGGGATCGATCACCTCCAGCGTCTCTCTTGCTATGAAAGCCACTTCCTTGCCGACGATCTCGAAATCTAACAGGTTCCCGTTTTCTGGGCCTCCAGGATACAGGCGGGGCGATTCGCGGCTCAGGTGATCCAGCAACGGGGACCAAAACGCCCACGAAGCCAGCAGGTTCTCCGTGGTGATGAAGGATTCCTTTTTCCCATGGTAGATCGCCGAGAGCAGGAAGGAATAAGCGTCCCGCTGGGCTGCAGGGACAAAGACGTGATAATCGGAGAGACTTTGCCCCCAAAGGCGCAGCTGCGGGTGATCCCGGAACTCTTTCCAGGCGCCGCGGGGCATGGCTGGCTTAAAGAGATTGCGGCTGACTAGGATCGCGGGTGAGTTCAGCTTTCCGTGCACAATGGAGAAGACGATCTGTTTCGGCTTGCAGTGGCTGCGTTCGGCCTCCCAGGCGCTCTCGGTCTGGACGCAGTGCGCCTGGTTTTTGAACAGGATGCGGACGTAGCTGGCCCGTTCGTCGAGGACTTTGCCGGACGTCAGGACGAACGGTACCCCTTCCCAGCGTAGGTTGTCCAAATGAACCAGCACCCCTAAAATGATAGAAAACGGGTGGCTACTGACCCATAGATGCACATCTTCCCCGCCAAGGCAGGGAAGACCAGGTGCACGGGAGTTATAGATTAGCCTCAAAAATTAACCACAGCTGATGAACCGCACCATAATTTTTCCCGGCAGAAACCACCATTTTGCTCAACTGATCCCAAACTCTCCAAACTACAAGCCCCATCATCCCCAACCAACAACTCCATTCGCTGCCTATCAAGGACTGTACCTATGTCTCTATAGGGCTGTGAATGGCGTGGCCATAAGATAAGGAGGGAAGAGTCAAATTCGAATTCCTACTTGTCTCCATCCATCCTTGAGCCAGAAAGCTCCATGGGCAATTGGCGGTCTGATCAGGAGCTGGGCGCCTACCTTATAAGGTTGTTGTGATGCTCGGGAAAATTCTGGCCCTTGCTAGCTTCTGCATAATACATAAACTTGGATTTTTTTCCCCCCTGCTGGCACACTCAAAATAAGAGGAAGGTGACACCTGACCCCACCGCCTGCCTTGGGTGTCAAGATTTTACCTGCAAACGTTGGCATCTTGGTGAAAAAGTCCTGCCCCTTGTGAAGCTCCTCCCTCACGTGGGCGCCGTACGCCTCGTACTGGCCAATCACAGCGCTGTTTTTTTCCAAGCTTCGCAAGCAGGAGAAAGCCCCAAGTTTGCTCCGGAGGACTTCTTCCGAGTTGGTGAGGTTGGCCGGCAGCTCCATGGCGAGAGACATCAGGATTTCGGTGAGATGGTTCTGGTGCATGTCGCGAAGGACCCCGTACTGTTCGTAAAACTCGGTGCGATCTGGGCGAAGAAGGAACAGCAGCCGTGAGAAGCCTCCCGGAGCCAAAATTATGTCGAGATGAATCAATTAATCTATCGATGAATCTGCAGAATTAAATGCTTGCCGCGCTTAGGCGACCGTCGGCAAAATTATTCGACCCGCTTAAGCAGGCAAGGAAACATTATTCACCCCACCACCCCCTAGCTGTCATCCCAGATGATTCTTTGGCCTCTCACCAGAGGTGGGATTCAGCCGGTTCGTGCATACTGGTAGCAGTGACTGCGAGTAGGCCCGCCCACCCGCCTGGATGTAATGCCGTCCTATTTAGCCACGTTTTCGAGACCGGGCACATGCGTGGAAGGCATGCGCGCGAGCAAAGCACATGCGCGGAAGGCCGGGTACATGTGCGGATGGCGTGCACGCGAAGCGAGCGTGCGCACGGCGAATCGGTGGCTAGAATATTGGAAACCCACCGCTGCTCTGCGCCCTAGTGAGGGATCACCTGGTGGCCTCCTGTTCAAAGGACTACAGTACCGGGGGCCCATTCCTACTTAGCCTTTGGGAACCCCAAAGGTCATCTAGCTCAGTAAAGACTGAGAAACGAGTCAGGGGAGTTAAGACTCTCCTGGTGCTGCAGTGTCCTTCAGAAAAGGACGAGAAAATCATTTTTGATTAGACCGCTTCGTACTGCACCAGGAAGAGAAAAAGGTGCGATTTTTATGCTCAACCAGTTTTTCCAACTCAAAGAAAAAGGAAAAACATTTTAAGGGCCGGTACTGCATGCAAACGCCCGGCCCATTTTCTAGAAACGAGCCCTCGCACGAGCAAAACCGGTGTGCAACGCTCCAAGAATTTCCTCCTCGTTCCTCGGCCAGGGGAGAAAAAAAAAAACCCTGGAATTTGCCAAGCTTAAAATGATTATTTTAGGAAACGGACGATTGTTGCTTTTAATAACATAATGCGTTGCTGGCACCGTGCGCAGCCCAGGCGCATTTCTGAGGCTGCAGAAAAAAAGGAAGCTAACATCAGGTGAGTGCTGGATGCCGGGTGTGGGAACACAGCAACGTTGTGAGTTTTACCCACAACAGTGACTTTCCGAGGTTTCTCAAGCTAATTCTCCGTGGACGACTTTCTGTGTGCACAATGAAGGCGCTTTATCATTCAGCCGCGGCTCTTCCTGTGTAATTAAGGTTAAGTCACTAGTCCTCATCGTTTTTAATAAAGGATGATTTCCACAATCACACAGGATATCCTCTCACAGACTCAGGCCACTGGAATTCCATTCGATCGTGGAAAGCAACCGGTATGCATAAAATAAAATAAAAAAGGCGATCAAATAAAAAAAACACGGGACTTGTTTTCGCAGCTTTTGTCGTCGGGGAGTTCTTTTGGGCTGCTAAGAAAGATTATTCCCAGATTGAGAGAAAATAATAATAAAAAAAGTTTAATTGATGACCCGAAACTGCAGGTACTTAACTTAAATAAAAAAAATAAAAAATGAAATTAAGTTGAAAACTTAAGGGAATTTCAATGTGGAAAGCCCGAACTGTCCGGAAGAAAAAAATAAATAAATTGGAAATCAAGATTGCTTGTGGAGAATTTGTTTACATTAATAATAAAACCGTAAGTCTACCTCTCTCCGATTCTTCCTCCCAACCAGGGGTGAAATCCAGCAGGTTCTGGAGAACCGGTAGCGGAAATTTTGAATAGTTCGGAGAACCGGCAAATACCACCTCTGGCTGGTCTCAGAGGGAGGTGGGAATCGAGATTTTGCAGTCTCCTTCCCCTGCCACGCCCATCAAGCCACGCCCACAGAACCGGTAGTAAAAAAAATTAGATTTCACCACCGCTCCCAACCCAAACTCACGCTGACGTACTTTTGACATCCACGGTCTCTTTCAGAACAATTTCCACCCGCTCCACGTGATGGCGGTTCCAGACTGGATCCAATTTTTCTCGGTTTTGATTCCGGAAAGGTAAAATGTGAGCCACTGCCTTCAAGAGGGGGAAAAGAAGGGGAAAAAATTGTAGGAAACCATTTTGGGGGGGGGGGAAATAAAAACATACCGGAGGCCCCTCTCTCTTGTAGAGCTGTGATGGTGAACCTATGGCACGGGTGCCAGAGGTGGCACGTAGAGCCCTCTCTGTGGGCATGCGCATCGTCGCCACTGGTCTTTGTGGGCGCCGGAGCCCTAAAATCGGCCTGAAAAACAGCCTGAAAATGGTCCCAAAACAGCCTTAAAACGGCCCCCAAAACGACCAAAAAACAGACAAGTGCATGCTGGCCACCTGGGCTTCAGGTTTCCAGTGCTCCGGTGCACCCGTGCCGGAAACCCGAAGACCAGCTAACCAGCACGGACATGAGCGCCAACCAGCTGAACTTTGGGTTTCCGGCATGCGCATGCACTTGGTGCCAGTTTGGGCACTTGGTGCCAAAAAGGTTCGCCAACCCTGTTCTAGGGGGGCTTAGCAACAGAAATGTTTCTTGCCACGGTTGTTAACTGAGTCACCGCCGTTGTTCAGTTAGCAACCCTGGTTGTTAAGTGAATCCGGCTTCCCGTCAGAAGGTTGCAAAAGCCAAATTGTGCCAAAGTTCTAAGAGACCCAGCTCCGATCCATTTCGCGATTCAATTAAATTGGAGATCTCATCCAATCCTCAATTAAATCGGAGATCTCATCCAATCCTCAATTAAATCGGAGATCTCATCCAATCCTCAATTAAATCGGAGATCTCATCCAATCCTCAATTAAATCGAAGATCTCATCCAATCCTCAATTAAGATAAATCATCCAATCCTCAATTAATCGGAGAGCTCATCCAATCCTCAATTAAATCGAAGATCTCATCCAATCCTCAATTAAATCGGAGATCTCATCCAATCCTCAATTAAATCGGAGATCTCATCCAATCCTCAATTAAATCGATGATTTAATCATATCAGAGCCCCAAATTGTGGATTAGGCCTTTATCAATAAAAGTTGCATTTGGTTCAGTCCAGGCAGTTGTGGATGAAATTTGGAGGACCAAAAGTAGCCGAGTGGTTTCCTAACTCCCCCATCAGAAATATACCTAATTGGATCCCGATGAATTAGGAGCTCTATTCAAACATTCGGGGAAGCTAAGTTTCTCCATCAGAGGTAGTCCTCGACTTACGACTGCAATCGAGCCCAACATTTCTGTTGCTAAGCGAGGCGTTCGTTAAATGAGTTATGAGAAAACTCATTTAACGAACGCCTCGCTTAGCAACAGAAATGTTTCTTGCCACGGTTGTTAACTGAGTCACCGCCGTTGTTCAGTTAGCAACCCTGGTTGTTAAGTGAATCCGGCTTCCCGTCAGAAGGTTGCAAAAGGCGTGACCCCAGGACGCTGCGGACGTTGTAAATACGAGACAGTGGCCAAGCGTCCAAATTTTGATCGCATGACCACAGGGATGCTGCAATGGTCGTAAATGTAAAACATGGTCATAGATATGAATTAGTTGCCAAGCATCTGAATTTTCATCCCATGATCCTGGGGATGCTGGAAATGTAACTGAAAAATGGACATCGGTCGCTTTTCTCAGTGCTGTTGCAACTTTGAATGCCCATTAAGTGAACTGTTGTAAGTCGAGGACTACCTCTACAAACAAAAATCTATGTATGTGTTTGGAGAAAAGAGAAAACTCTTTTAAGTTATTCAGAAAATGTCAAGCTTTTGTAGCGTTTTTCCATTATTTATACTCAACAAACCTCCCTTTCATCCTAAATCCCATGCACTTTGCACGTACTCAGAGGCCCAGCTTTCTTTAGATTTCTACAGCAGTGGATATCTCAATTTTTGGGCCCTCCAGAAAGCCAAATATCCCATAATATCCTTCCATCCCTGTCTGCAGGGGCGGGTTTCAAAATCCACCATTACCGGTTCGCTCGTGGGCACGCACACACTCGCGCATGCGCAGAAGCGTCCGGGCAGGTGGGCGGAGCCTCCCATCGCCGCCGCTACTGGATTCGCCCGATCCAGTACGAACCGGTAGCAACCCACCAATGGCCATCTGCTAAGATTCCCTGCCTTGCAGAACAACGGATCCTTCTCAAACCGGGGAGTGGGGGGAAAAACTGGGGAGTGAAAATTGCACGTCTCGCTGTCGGCTTATCAAATTAAAAGCCTCGTGCGGGGAAATTTTGGAATTTTGGCAGCCAAGCAGAGATGGGAGGCCGAGACGAGGAAAAAACAAAACAAAAAAACACCTTACTCAACAAAACTGAAGCGACAACCTTGGATTCCTGGCAGGGCAGTTTGGTTTCCCGTTCTGTCTTTTTGCGCACTCACTCCCTGACACACTCTCCCGCACACAACTGCAGCGGGCTAGCTCGCCAGCGTGGGGAGTTAACCCCAAATTAAATAAAAACCACCCTCATTTTTCCTACTCTAAGAAGGTCAAAAAAAGACATTGACCATTTGTCTGGCATGGTATAGAGTTTCCTGCTCGAGCAGGGGGCTGGATTAGAAGACCTCTAAGGTCCCTTCCAACTCTGTTTATTCTGTTCTGTTCTTCTCCCATTTCCAACCCAATTCTCTTCCTTTCCTTGTGGCACGGCCTCTCTTCATTCCCAACCCAAAGGCAGCGGCCCGTTCGGTTTCGTGCAAACCTCGGTGTGCCCATTTGTCATTGTCACCACTCCTGCGGGTTGGTTCCCGATTTGCTTCCGGGTCCAATTCAAGGCATTGATTGTCACCTTTAAGTCCTTCATGACTTGGGACCTGACTATCTGAGGGACCTTCTCTTGCCGGTCACATCCATCCGACCACCAGAGTGGAGAGGCAAGGAATGTTGTGTGTCCCATCCCCTAAGGAGGTATATCTGGCGGGACCTAAAAGAAGGGCCTTCTCTGTGATGGCTCCCTCCCTCTGGAACAACATCCCTGCAGAAACTACACCAGGGGTGTGAAACCCGACTGCATCGAGGGCCGCATCAGGGTTGTGTTTGACTTCGGAGAGGGGCAGGGGGTGTGTGGCCTGCTCGATGTCATTCGTGTCGAGGGCACCTGTGGTGGCCTGGGCGGGATCCTCCTGCAGCCCTCTGCTAGCGAAAATGGAGCCTGGGAGGGCTGCGCGTGGCCTACCTGAGCTCCGTTTTCGCTGGCTAAGCCACCGCGGGCTGGTCCTTCGCTATTTCCAGAGGGGCCCCGCAGGCCAGATCCAGCCTTGAGTTTGACATCCCTGAATTAGACTGACACTTTTTTGGAAGGCCCTGAAAACGTGAGCCCATTAAATGGCTAGTATGAGTGTGTGTTGTCGCCAGGGAGGGGAGATATTATTTTATTATTATTATTATTTCTTTTATATTGTGTTTTTATTTCCTGTAAGCCGCCTTGAGCGAGCAGGCGGCAATCTCAATTGCCCAAATAAATAAATACCCATTAAAACCTCTTAACCACCCTACGAGGACCTCTAGTTGGGGATGATGGGCGTGAACTCCAACGCCTTTAGAGATCTCGGCCAGAGTCACTCCTCTTAAAAAGTGACAACACAGTGGCTGTGTTCCCTGCCAATCAAACCAGGATCCCTCCTCTCTTCCATCCAGATTAGTGGTGGGTTGCTCCTGGTTCGGTCCGGTTCTTGTGAACCGGTAGTAAAAGCAGCCGGAGGCTCCGCCCACCCGCCCGGACATCATCAAAAACAATCTGCGCATACGCAGAAGCTTCCTGCGCAGTCCCGTTGCGAACCGGTTGTAAAGGTAAGTAAAACCCATCCCTGATCCAGATGTTGCGGTGGATAATTCAAACCCTGTTAAGATTCTCCTCACCTGCTTCCCCAGGTAATGATCCACCCGGTATATCTCCTCTTCACGGAAGACAGTGGCAAGCTCGTCTGCCAGTTGTTGAGCCGACAATAAATCATGACCAAAAGGTTTCTCCAGCACCACACGTAACCAGGCGCCGGAAGGCGGCCTGCAGCTGCTGTTAATATGCCGGGCAATTTCAGCGTAGGCAAACGGTGGCACGGACAGGTAAAAGATACGGCCGGTTTCCACAAGTTCCTCCTGAGCCAGGCTGGTTTTAATGCCCTGGTTGAGACTGGCGTAGTCTTCCTCTCCTTTGAGTTGGTGGTACTCCGTTAATTTCAAGAACTGGTCCTTTAGCACGGCGCATCTGTTGGGGGCCACCTCCGGCGAGCAGGCCAAATTTTTCAAGGGATCAAACATCAGCTTTCGCCCCACGTTGGGCTCCTTCTGAGCGGCCCCATAGAAAGTGAACGTGTGCCCGTTCGACACTTCGTCGACGTAAAGCTGGAACAAGCTTTGCCACAGGTATTTTTTGGCTAAATCTCCAGTGGCGCCCAGAAGGATGACAGAAACGTGGCCACGCGATTCCCTGGTTTCGGTGGGGAAAATGCCCCACAGCAAAATTATGGCGAGGGTCTCTTTAAAAAGCATCTTGGAAGCGGCGTCAAGCTGGAAAGAAAGGGAAGGAATGGAACGTGAGGTGTTTTTCAAAAGTCAGGGGGAAAAAAATAGAATTTGCGTCTTTGGCTCGTAAGGCTTCGGACTGTTTCAATATCAACTTTGTACCCCATGAGGCAACTCTACGATTTCACATTGCTGCTCATTGCACTCACAAACTCTTTTAGGAATGGACATAGCAGGATTATCACTGCTTCGCTGCTTATATTCCCTTTTTTTTTAATTAAAATTTGCTTCCTCGACTTATGACCACAATGGAGCCCAAAATTTCTGTCGTTAAATGTGGCAGTTAAGTGAGTTTTTCCCCATTTTAAAACCTTGCCACAATGGTTAAGTAAATCATTGCAGTTGTTAACTTAGTAACAACTGGTTGTTAAGTGAATCTGGCTTCCCCATTGACTCGGCTGGTCAGAAGGTCGCAAAAGGGATGTCAGCGCTTCAACGCTGGCATAGAGAGAGAGAGAGAGAGAGAGATAAGCTCTGAACTTTTGCCTGCTAAATCCCTTTGAAGTCAGGTTGTCGTGGAAATGAAGAGGGGGGGAACATTCCTGGGAAATGACGAGACAAGAAGTCTGAAGAATGACTTGGAAGATAGCCAATGAGAAGCAGAGATTTGGGGATCGGAAAGGGAGGGATTGGGGGGCAAAAGGTCAGTCTTGTCCGCATCAAGTCATGATCCGGTTTCCTAAATAGGAAACATAGAGCTGGGGCGGGTGGGCAGATCCACCAATGATTTACAAAATCGGTTCTCCTGAACCGGTATGAACCGGCTCGTCCGAACCGGCTGAATACCATCTCTGGCATAGATGCGATGTAGGAAATAAAAGGCAGGATCATCCCTTACTAGCTAAGGTCCAAACTTTGTTTGTTACCTCTCTGGGAGCTTGTCAACACCTCTACTGAGGTTCAATCAAAATCTCTCCTTCCTGTAATTGTATATTATATGTATTTTGAATTTACGTAAAGGGCAGGTTTGTCAGCCTTACAGAGAAACTGGCAATTAATACTTCCTTGTTTGACAAGTTGGTTTTCCACAGCGGGGATAAAATGCTTTCAACACTCCAACCGTCCAACGGTTAGTCAAACAAAACCCCCGTAGATTAAAAAAATAAATAAATCGGCATTTCCTGGTGCGAGAAGTCACCCTCTCGGAAGGCCAAGAAAAGAAATAGATTAAACAGCAGTTAGAGCAGTGATGGCTAACCTTTTTGCCATTGCGTGCCAAAAGTGGGGGGAGTGCAGGGGGGGTCGCGCGTGTGTGCGCCCACACCCATAATTCAATGCGCCCTGGCCCCCCCACGCATGCGCGCGTGACCTCCCTGCACTCCCCCTGCTTTTGGCATGCAATGGCACGGTGGGCCTGTAGGCCCGTTTTTTGCCCTCCCCAGACTCCAGAGGCTTTCTTGGAATCTGGGGAGGGCAAAAACAGCCTTCCCCACCTTCCCGGAGGCCCTCCGGAGGCCAGAAATGGCCCATTTCCTGACTTCCGGTGAACCCAGAACCCCGAAAATCAGGTGGCCGGCTCAGACATGCACGCCATAGCTAAGCTAGGGCAACACTCAGGTGCCCACCGATATGGCTCAGCGTGCCACCTGTGGCACGCGTGCCATAGGTTCGCCATCACTGAGTTAGAGAGTCCAATATAATCCCTACCCTTAAAATAAGCCCCAGTTAAGATCGTCAGCCAGATGGATGCATTTAGTACCACATTCCCCCCCAAAAATAAGACCTAACCAGAAAAATAAGCCCTAATGCGTCTTTTGGAGCAAAAATTAATATAAGACCCGGTTTTATTTTCGGGGAAACACGGTATAATGAGACTGAGCTAGCAAAAGGGTTGCCCACCAACTTTTGCCATTAGACACGGGATTGAAAAACTGCCTTTTTGCGCCGAAGGCTGAGAATGACAAGTTGCGAAAGGGTTGCCGCAAAATAAATAAATAAATAAATACAGCCTGTTTTGGCACACAACCACAATTTCACCACAATTCACAACCCCACAATATCGGAGAAGGGGATTGGCTTAGCACACAGAGTGCAGCATACGCCTTCAACAAACTCTGTTTTGCAAGAGCCGAGGCGGCTGCCCTGAAGCATCTTCTCCCTGGTACCGGAGGGTGATTTTTTGGAAGTCTGGGGAAAAAAAATTTGGTGGCGTGTTTTTTTTTGCTGAAACTGGAAATTTTCAAGCTCCCTCCCTGTTTCCAGCAGAGCAGAAAAACCAGTTTATTCGGTCTTTGCCCAAGGTCCCAAACTTCATGCTGGAGAGAGCAACTTTTCTGCTGATGTTCAAATAAATCCACCAGGATATGCCAAGAGGATGGCTGGGTTAATTGCTGACATATTAAATGGAACACACAAGGTGTGTTTACACATCAAAGTTTCTGATAGAAACCAGAATACACAATTCCCTTTCCCCCCCAATTTTTATTATTATTATTTTATTCATTGAACACGAAACTCAGTCCACTGAATATTTAAAAATGCATCACAAATACCATTGACTGGTGCTAATGGTTGATACAGGTTGCTGCAAGCATCCTAGGGATCAACCAAGTATCTTCTTAAATATTATTATTATTATTCCCCGTTTTATTCATTCAACATGAAACTCAAGTCAACTGAACATTTAAAAATGTGTCACAAATATAATTGACTGGTACTAATGGCTGATAGGGGTTGCTGCCACCGTCTTCTTCTTCTTCTTCTTATTATTATTATTATTATTATTATTAAATCTTTAGTGAGATTCACACTTTGAGGCTGGTTAATAGCTCAGCAGCTCGAGTCCTAACCAAGGACCCAGGAACTGTTAAGGTATCGTCGGAGGATGTAAGCTGTTCCGAAAAGGTGGTTTTTTGTAGAGTCAAAATGTTCAAGTCCGCAATTTAGAATTTCTAAATAGCGGGGTAGCCTTTGGGTATTGCTCCAAGGGCTCCAATTACAATCCTATTATTATTATTATTATTATTATTATTATTATTATTATTATTATTAAATCTTTAGTGAGATTCACAGCCTTTGAGGCTGGTTAATAGCTCAGCAGCTCGAGTCCTAACCAAGGACCCAGGAACCGTTAAGGTATCGTCGGAGGATGTAAGGCTGTTCCGAGTAAGGTGGTTTTTTGTAGAGTCAAAATGTTCAAGTCTGGCAAATTTAGAATTTCTAAATAGCGGGGGAGCCCTTTGGGTATTGCTCCGAGGGCTCCAATTACAATCGGGACAACACATGATTTCTTTTTCCACAGTCGCTCAACTTCAATTTGCAAGTCCCGGTACTTTGTGATTTTTTTTCTCGCTGCTTATCTTCAATCCGTGCATCACCAGGTATTGCAATGTCAATGGACCATATTTTTTTTTTTCTTTTCAACTATTGTTATGTCAGGTGTGTTGTGGACCAAGTGCCTGTCAGTCAATAATAATAATAATAATAATAATAATAATAATAATAATAATACTGGACTACTGTAATGCTCTCTATGTGGGGCTCCCCTTGAAAAGCACCCGGAATGCGGCCGCGCGGGTGGTTATGGGTGCAACCCGCTGTGCCCACGTGACACCCCTCCTGCGCGAGCTGCACTGGCTCCCAGTGGTCTTCCGGGTGTGATTCAAGGTGTTGGTCACCACCTTTAAAGCGCTCCATGGCATAGGACCCGGGTACCTTCGAGACCGTCTTCTGCCACCAATAGCCTCCCACCGGCTAGTCCGCTCCCACAGAGAAGGGTCTCCTCAGGGTGCCATCGGCCAAATTATGTCGGCTGGCGACACCCAGGGGGAGGGCCTTCTCTGCGGGAGCCCCTGCCCTTTGGAATGAACTGCCCCCGGAAATTCGTAAGATCTCCGACCTCCGTGCATTTCGCTGTGCCCTCAAAACCTTGTTGTTCCGCCAGGCCGGGCTATCAATGTAAAGGTTTTAATTGGTTTTAAATTGGTTTTAAAAATGGGATTTTAAATTCGGGGTTTTATAATTGAGCCTATTATTTAATAATTTTAATTATTTTTAAATTTTGTCTTTGTGCTTTTAATCCGGCTGCATACCGTCCTGAGTCCTTCGGGAGAAGGGCGGTATAGAAATAAAAAACCCCACTAAAACCCACTTTTTCCAGCAAGCCGGTCTGGTTTAAGAAGAAATTTTTAAAAGTTTTAAATTGGTTTGTGATTTTTAATTCTTGGGCCAAATTTACATATATTTTCATTGTTTTTTTAATATTTGTATTTCATGTTCTTAATTTTGGCTGTACACCGCCCTGAGTCCTCAGGGAGAAGGGCGGTATATAAATTGGAAATAAAATAAAAAAATAAATAAAATAAAATAAATAAATAAGATAAATAAGATAAATAAATAAATAAATAAATAAGTGCCTGTCAGTCTGAATCCTAAAGTCCCACAAGATCTTGAGTTTCTCATTCTCTACAACCTTCTCACACCTGATGTTCCCAGTGGTTTTTGCTGTACTCAAATCCAAACTTCTGGCACAATTTCCAGTGAATGATGATATTATTATCATCATCATCATCATTATCATCATATGCTTTATTCATTAAACATGGAACTCAATCAACTGAATTGACTCAAGTCAACTCAGTCAATGATGATGATGATGGGTGGAATTCCTAGATTTGGGGAAGAAATTAAGAGCCTTGGTAGTACAGTGGTCTAAGGCACCCTGTTATTAAGCCGGTTATTAAGACCAGCTGCCTGCAATTACTGCAGGTTCGAATCTCGCCAAGGCTCAAGGTTGACTCAGCCTTCCATCCTTTCTAAGGTAGGTTAAATGAGGACCCAGTTTGTGGGGGCAATAAGCTGACTTTGTATAAATATACAAAAGGATGAAGGCTATTGCTTAACGCACTGTAAGCCGCCCTGAGTCTCCGGAGAAGGGCGGCATATAAATCATTTTTTTTAAAAAAAGAAAAAGAGAAGGAAGGAAGGAAGGAAAGAAAAAGGAAGAAAGAAAGAAAGAAAAAAGAGAAGCTGACTTTGTATAAATATACAAAAGGATGAAGGCTATTGCTTAGCACATTGTAAGCCGCCCTGAGTCTCCGGAGAAGGGCGGCATATAAATAATTTAAAAAAAAAGAAAAGAAAAGAAAGAAGAGAAGGAAGGAAGGAAGGAAAGAAAGAAGAAAGAAAGAAAGAAAGAAAGAAAGAAAGAAAAAGAAGAAAGAAAGAAAGAAAAAGAAAGAAAGAAAGAAGAAAGAAAGAAAGAAAGAAAGAAAGGAAAGAAGAAAGAAAGAAAGAAAGAAAGAAAGAAAGAAAGAAAGAAAGAAAGAAAGAAAGAAAGAAAAGCTGACTTTGTATAAATATACAAAAAGGATGAAGGCTTTTGCTTAGCACATTGTAAGCCGCCCTGAGTCTCCGGAGAAGGGCGGCATATAAACCAAATTTTAAAAAAAAAGAAAAGAAAGAGAAGGAAGGAAGGAAGGAAGGAAGGAAGGAAGGAAGGAAGGAAGGAAGGAAAGAAAGAAAGAAAGAAAGAAAGAAAGAAAGAAAGAAAGAAAGAAAGAAAGAAAGAGAAGCTGACTTTGTATAAATATACAAAAAGGATGAAGGCTATTGCTTAGCACATTGTAAGCCGCCCTGAGTCTCCGGAGAAGGGCGGCATATAAATCAAATTAAAAAAAAAAAATGTTGAAAAAGACAAATTTAGGGTCAAAGTGCGGGAAGCTGGGGGTTGCATGTACAAAGCCAGGAAAAGGGGGTGGAGGTGGATTGTCCAGGCTTCCCCCAGTCCAGGAGGAAGGTGGGGGGGGCAGATCTGGGTGCAAACCTGGAAGAAAAAGGGGGGGCACCCAACCTCAATCTATACCACCCCATCCACCCCCCCTCCCTCTGGCAGAGGCGCCTAACAAGCTGATCTGCTGGCTGGCAAGGCGGAAGCAGCCTTGCAAATGGCTTTTTTGGACCGGATCCCCAATAAAGCACAGCCGTGCAAACCTTTTGCGTCCCCCCCTTTTTTTTTTCCAGCGGGCGCCTTGTTGCAAAAGGGCGCAAGGGAAAAATGCACGCTCAGATTGCATTTTTGCAACAGGAAAAGGGTGTAGAAAGCCCCCCCCCCCTTCTTGGATAGCTTATCCCTCCTTCCCCCCCCTCCCCTGCCTTTTTGCTGTCGGCCCACGCGGGAAAAAAAGACCCACTCACCTCCCTCCCGCGGGCGGCGTTGGAGAAGCCCAAAGGCGGAATCCGAGAAAACGAGAGACGGGCGCCAACGTGGAGATTTCCTCCCTCGCCTCCTCTCGGCCGGCCAGCTCCGCCTCTTCTTCCCAATGGCAAGTAGGAGGGAGGGGGAAAAAAAAAGCTTACGGTTCGCGTCGAGCCGGAGCGGCCGATTGTGAAGCGGGCGGGGGAGGAAGCAAAGTCTTCTTCCTAATTGTTTCTTATTTTATTCTGATTTTCACATCCGAATTTCCCCCGGTGTATTTCTTCAGCGGCAACAAAGTATAAACTTGGGCCCGACATGGAAGTTATCCGCGGAGTTATACGTAAAAGCAGTCCCCCTTCTCGGCTTCCCAACCAGACGCCAGGTATGGAGTTCCAAGTCCCATCATCCACCAGCACATGGGGTAAGGGTTTATAATTAGGAATCCAATCCCGGGTGATCTGAATAGTTTATGGGATTTGGGAGAGCGCCTTCCGGTTGGTGGGAGAGATCACTTGCCAACAGACCAGGAGATAATTCAAAAAATTTAGGCATGTGTAGAAATGGATAAATTGACTTTAAAATTAAAAGATAAGGAAGACTCAAAATTTTTCAAAGTATGGAATAGATGGTGTAAGTGGATAAATCAAAAGAAAAAAGGGTAAAGACCAAATTTAGGCAAAATCAAATGTAACAGATAAGCACCCTCAGGTAGATAGAATAGGAAATAAATCACTGTTTATATCTGTATGTACATACAATTACATATATTTAGTTTGTTTGTGGGGTTGTGTATTGTTTATGTAATTTTATGATTGAGAAAAAATTGTATATTTTTTGTGTTTTAAAATTTTTAAACTCAATAAAGTTTGTTTTTAAAATAAAAAAAAGAATAGAATAGGATTCAGAATAGAATAGAATATAGAATAGAATAGAATAGAATAGAATTTTTTATTGGCCAAGTGTGATTGGACACACAAGGAATTTGTCTTCGGTGCATACGCTCTCGGTATACATAAAAGATACGTTTGTCAAGAATCATAAGGTACAATACTTAATGATAGTCATAGGGTACAAATTAGCAATCAGGAAACAATATCAATATAAATCGTAAGGATACAAGCAACAAAATTACACTCATGCAGTCATAAGTGGAAGGAGATGGGTGGTGGGAACGATGGGAAGATTAATAGTAGTGCAGGCTTAGTATTTACTACTTACTATTTCTCCAAGAAGCACTTAGCAGCAGCTCTGAGGAACTGGCATAACTAGCTGCGTTCACATTTGCTACTTACGCAACTCTGCCTCATTGTGGTCTAGTGCATTGCTAAGTACAGCCCTGTGGGCGTCAAACCATCATTTGGGGCCAGACAGATACTAAAAAACCAAGCTAAGCCCCTGTAACTTAACCCTACAGGGAATAAGTGGACCGTGCTAGAGGTAAGATTCCCAGGTCTACCTTTAAGGAACGTTGTGTGAACAAACGCCAAATGGAGCATTCAGATTAATTTCTCCTTTATTTAGGGGGAAAAAGGGGACAAGCTGAGCTTCAGTGCCAACCGGGATTGATTTAACCACCTTTAACAGAACAAGCCACAATGCATTGGCTTCCCGAAGAAGTTATTCCTTCTTAAACCGTGGCTTGCCGGCTGCAAAAGCCAGCTTTGTGGAGGGCATTATGCAAACCCTCAATATATCATGGTTTGTGGCCAAAGGACAGCCTTGCATTCTTAGCCCTGCATTTCTCTGTCCTTCTTAGGAACCGCGAAAGCCGTTTGACCTCCAAAGCCTCTTCAGCAATGAGCCGGTGGGCCTGCAAGCTTCCCCCCCCCCCACCAGCCTGCAGCAGACTGCAGTGAACTGCGCAGCCAGCTAACATGTCCAGAACTGCATTCTCTGCAGCTCAGAAATGCTGCAGTTCCAGCAGGATGGTTAAAATATATATATATATATATATATATATAATAGTAACAATGAATTAAATATGTCCTTCCCGCCTCCTTCAATTTCTAGATGGGGTTAAGGCATCACAAGCACACTCTGGTTGTGCGGGAGCTGGAAATCACAATCGTAGAGCTCTCGCACCCTCGGACAAGCACACCTGCCTGTCTCAGGTCCATGGAAAGGAGTCGGTCGGCGGGTAACAATGCCAGGTCCGGTTTAAAAGATACGGTTGACTGTGAGATTAAGCGTCTAAACTAGTGAAAAGAAGGACTTGGGGTGACCCGATAGCAGCGTTCCGATATTTAAGGGGCTGCCCCAAAGAAGAGGGAGTCAAGCTATTCTCCAAAGCCCCTGAGGGCAGGACAAGAAGCAATGGATGGAAACTAACTCAAGGAGAGAAGCAACCTAGAACTAAGGAGAAACTTCCTGACTCTGAGAACAATTAATCCGTGGAACAACTTGCCACCAGAAGTTGTGAATGCTCCAACACTGGAAGTTTTTAAAAACATGTTGGATAACCATTTGTCTGAAGTGGTGTAGGGTTTCCTGCCTAAGCAGGGGGTTGGACTAGAAGACCTCCGAGGGCCCTTCCAACTCTATTATTCTGCTATTTCTGTTATTTTCTCTCTGCGCTGGCAATCCTAGCAAGAACCAGGATCACCAGTTCATTGGGAGGTGGATTATTTGGGGTTCGTTTTTGCTGGCAGGCCGCTCGAGCCACCACAGGTGCCCCCGACACAAGTGACATCGAGCTGGCCACGCCTGGCCACGCCCCTCCCGAGGTCAAACACAACCCCGATGTGGCCCTCAATGAAATCGAGTTTGACACCCCTGTTCCAGACCCACTTAAGTTGCCTACAAGAGAAGAATACCAGAATATTCTGGAAGGGACCTGGGAGGTCTTCTAATCCAACTCCTTGCTCAGGCAGGAAAAGCCTATAGATACCATTTCATACCAAGCAACTAAGGTGATCGAGGGCCTGGAGATTAAAACCATCTGAAGAAGGGCTGCAGGATTTGGGTTCGGCTAGTCTAGAGCCGTGATGGCGAACCTATGGCACGTGTGCCACAGGCGGCACGCAGAGCCATGTCACCTGGCACGCCAGTTCAGCTCCGGTGCGCATGCGTCGGAGTCTCTCGAGGCTCGGGACAGCAAAAAACATAACTTCCTGTCCAACCAGAAGTTGGGAAACAGGCCGTTTCAGGTCTCCGAGGGGATGGGGAAGGCTGTTTTCGCCCTCCCCAGATGCATAGAAAGGATCTGGAGAAAGAAATTTTTTTATTATTTTTTTTTAAACATAAAACATAAAACACATCTTTTTAGAGCAAAGGTTTGATCCGGTATAAAATAAGTATAAGTTCCAAATTTCATCCATTCACATCTTAAAGAAGGAAAAAAAAAAGAAAAAAAGAACAAATCTAAACCCAATTCTTATCATTCAATCTAACATTTTGTTCTAGCATTTAACATTCTACCATATATCACCCTAAATCTTAAATTCCAAATCTAAACAGCTTTTTATAATATCCATTTATCATTTTATCAGTTTTCCGCTGTGCTCTTAAGACCCTGCTCTTCTGACAGGCAGGGCTAGCTTCATAATTGAGTTTTAAATTCGGAGTTCTTAAATTTTGGGTTTTTTTAGCTAATTGGCCTTGAATGTAATACTTTTAATAATTTTTAAATTTAAATTTGTAATATTTGTATTGTGTTTTTACCTGCCTGTACACCGCCCCGAGTCCTTCGGGAGAGGGGCGGTATAGAAATAAAATTATCCTATCCTATCCTATCCTTTTAACAATCAGTATTTCATATATTTTCCTTACTTCAAAGACCCAGATCAAATCCGCGTTTCTTCAAAATCACATCTAAAGACCGACGTAAAATATTTTACTCCTCTCTTAAAAACATTTCCAAATCCATTCACTTTAAAATTTCTTCCACATTTCCACCTATACTTTATGATACCCAAAATATTTTATTTTGGCTAGTTGAAGCTTCTTCTCCATTACAACTGATTCTAGCGTTTTAAGTGGTTCGTAACTTATATGTAGCTATTCCCCAGTTCTCCTCCTTCAGCAAGGGGCTGGATTAGAAGACCTCCAAGGGGCCCTCCCAGCTCTATTCTGTTCTAAAGGGTTGTCCAACCTCTTCTGGAAAAAAAAGGAAGGAAGAAGCGCTACCCAGCGTAAGGGGAACATAAGGATTTAGGAGCAGAGTCTGTGATCCCACTTTTAACCTTGTTGGACAGGTGGATGGAAATCCTGCATGCGGCTTCAATTGCAGGATTCTTGGCATTCACCGGAAGCAATTATCCCCCCCCTCCCTCTCCAAAAATAGAGTTTTTTTTTTCAATCTATTTAATACCTCCCTCCTCCTTTTTTTTTTCCCCCCCTTTCCCATTCTCCTCCGATCTTCCTCAGTTGGCCATCAATCACCGTGAGGAATCCTTTTCTGAGTTCAGCCTCCCAGGAACTTCTGAAGCATCCGGTTAGAGAGAAGATAACGGTGTCCCGACGAGGAAGCAGGTAATTGGGGTGGTGGGATGGGTACCAGTGGTGGGTGGGTGGGAGCAGGCTGCGGGCATCCTTGTTTCATGCCCGAAAAACTTATCCAGGCCAGGCCAGTCGGTTAGACCTGGTGTCTCCCCCTCCCTGCCCCAAATTTCTTATCTCCTGTTTTAGATGATTCCTTCTCGTTTTTCAGGAGTCTCTCATACACACCCACCAACTCATCCTTCGGATCTGAATTACTTTCCCACCCCCCCTTTTTTTTTTTTGAATGCCAACTTTTGCTGACCTTGAGGGGCGGGCTTTGCGGGCAGAAGACCATGTCCCCCCTCCCCACTTTCTCTCGAGGGAGGGAGATGACGGCTTTGAAGGAATTTCCCCCCCCCCATCAGCATCCCCACTTCCCACAGCATCGGGGAGAAATTGTGGCTCCGCTTTGCTGATTCTCTCCAGCCCCCCCCTCCCCGATTTTTGATGCAGTCTCGCTGCAGAGGGGAAAGGGAAGCTGCAGAGCACTCACACAAATACACAAACACACACTCACACACCCTACACACATACACTTCTCTCCCCACATACCATTGCTGCAGAAGCAGAATGCATGACCACGATTTGGCTTGCAGGAAAGAGAGGGAGGGAGGGAGGGAGAGAG